TGTTTTTCTTTGAGATTGTTTTAGCCATTCTAGTTCCCTTGCACTTCTACCTGAATTTTAGGATCAGCTTGCCAATTTCTGGGGGAAAAAACCCAAAACCTGCTGGGATTTTCATTGGGATCACACTGAATACATAGATCAAGTTGGGGAGTATGGTTAATATTAATTCTTCCTAGTCATGAGCACAGAATGTCGTTCCTTTATTTAAATCTTTAATTTATTTCAGTAATGTTTTATAGTTTTCACCGTACAAACCTTATACAATTCTTTCCCAAATCTTTCACAGTGCACAAATCTTTTACAATTCTTCTTTTGTTAAATTTATTTTTAAGTATTATATTCTTTGTGGGGTTGTTATAAATGGGATAATTTCATTAATTTTTAGATTGTTCATTGCTAACGTATAGAAATACAATTGATTTTATCGATTTTTTTTTTTTTTTTGAGATGGAGTCTCGCTCTGTCGCCCAGGCTGGAGTGCAGTGGTGCAATCTCAACTCACTGCAAGCTCTGCCTCCTGGGTTCACGTTATTCTCCTGCCTCAGCCGCCCGAGTAGCTGGGACTACAGGCACCTGCCACCACGCCCAGCTAATTTTTTGTATTTTTAGTAGAGACGGTGTTTCACCGTGTTAGTCAGGATATCAATTTTATATCCTGCCACATTGCTGAATTTGCTTAGTTCTGTTTTTTTAGAGGATTCCTTAGGATTTTCCGTATACAAGATATCACGTCATTGACAAACAGAGATATTTTTACTTCCTACTTTCTAATCTGAATACCCCTTATTTGTTTTTCTTGAGTGATTGCCCTGGCTAGAATATCAAGTACAATGTTACATAAAAGTGGCAAAAACAAAAGCAAACATGCTTGCCTTGTTCCGGATCTTAAAAGGAAAACACTCCATCTTTCTCCATTAAGGAGACTGTCAGCTGTGAGCTTTTTGTAGATGCTCTTGATTGGCTTGAGAAACCTCCCTTCCATTGTTTTTGTTGTTGTTGTTTCCGTGTGCATGTTTTTTGAAACAGTCTCGCTCTCTTGTCCAGGCTGGAGTGCAGTGGCGTGATCTCGGCTCACTGCAACCTCCACCTCCCAGGTTCACGCGATTCTCCTGCCTCAGCCTACTGAGTAGCTGGGATTACAGGCATGCGCAACTATGTCCATATTATTTTTACATTTTTAGTAGAGACAGGGTTTCACCATGTTGGCCAGGCTGATCTTGAACTCCCGACCTCAAATGATCCACCCACCTTGGCCTCCCAAAGTGCTGGGATCACAGGGGTGAGTCACCATGCCTGGCCCTTTCTATTGCGAATGCGTTTTTTTTGTTTTGTTTTGTTTTTTGTTTTTTTTGAGACAGGGTCTCACTTTGTTGCCCAAGCTGGAGTGCAGTGGTGTGATGACAGACTGCAGCTTGACCTCCCAGGTTGAAGTGATCCTCTCACCTCAGCCCCCTAAGTAGTTGGAACTACAGGTATATGCCATCATGCCTGGCTAATTTTTAAATTTTTTGTAGAGACAGGGTCTCACTGTATTTCCCAGGCTAGCTGAATGCTTCTGTCGTGAAAGGGTGTCAGACTTTGTCAAATGCTATTTCTCTATTGAGATGAACATGTAGTTTTTATCCTTTGTTGTATTATTATTATTATTTTTTTGAGATGCAGTCTTGCTCTGTCACCCAGGCTGGAGTGCAGTGGCACCATCTCAGCTCACTGCAACCTCTGCCTCCTGGGTTCAAGCGATTCCTGTGCCTCAGCCTCCTGAGTAGCTGGGATTATAGGTGCCCACCATCACACCCAGCTAATTTCTGTATTTTTAGTAGAGAAGGGGTTTCATCACGTTGGCCAGGCTGGTCTTGAACTCCTGATCTCAGGTGATCCACCTGCCTCAGCCTCCCAAAGTGTTGGGATTACAGGTATGAGGCACCGGGCACCTGGCCTCCTTTGTTCTATTGATATGGTGTATTGCACTGATTTATTTTCAGATGTTAAATCATTCATTCCTGGAATCAATTTCACTTGGTCAGGCTATATAATCCTTTGTATACGTTGCTGGATTTGGTTTGTTAGTACTTTGTTAAGGGTTTTAATATCTGTATTCATAAAGTATACTGGTTTGTAGTTTTCTTGTGATGTCTTTGGTATTGGTATCAGGATAATTCTAGCCTCACAGAAGAAGCTGGAAAGTATTCTCTCCCTTCTATTTTTGAAAGACTTTGTGAAGAACTGGTATTAATAAAAAATCCTTACTAAGGAAATTTTTTAACATACCAAAAAATAGTAAGAACAGTATCATGAGTTCCTGTGTGTATTCCCACCTAACTTCAATAATTATCAATAGTCCACCATTCTTATTTTACTTATACTTCCCCTCCCCCACACCTTACTCTTTTGGGGGCTGAAGTTATTTTAAAGCAAATCCCACACACATCATTTCACCTTTAAATACTTCAATGTGTATCTCTAACAGATAAAGACCTCTTTTTTTTAACATAAGCAGAATTATTTCACCTAACAAAATTGGCAGTAATTGATAATGTTATCTAACACCTGGTCCATGCTAAAATTTCCCCAAATGTTTAAAAAATAATTTTTTGAATTGGTTTGAATCAAGATCTAAACAATGTCCAACACTGCATTTTAGTTGGCATGACTCTTTTCATAATAGCCTGTTTCTCCCTTTTCTCCCCATGCGATTAATTTATTTGGTGAAAAAACAAGGTCAATTTATCCTATACAATTTTTCTGTATTCCAATTTTGGATGTTGTATCCTCATGTGTCTGTTTAACTCATTCTTCTGTCCTTCATATTTTGAAACTGGCAGTTAGATCTAGATTGAGGTTGCTGTGAACTTACTATTGCATAATATTAGAAAACAGTATCTGGCTATCCCACTTTTAGCGTTAAGATTAATCAATGAGTTCATATGCTACTCGCTAGATCCACCTATTATAAAGTCCCCTATCAACCTTTACTTCATAGTTTTATCAACCATTGACAATTTGTGACTAGGTACATTATTTCAGCAGAAGTTGCAAGATGGTGATTTTCTCATTCTCTCAGTTCTTCCAAGGCTAGGATTTTTACTTTCACAATTCTATACTCTAGGTCTATGAGTCCTAAATAGGGAGGTATAACCTCCAGGTGCCATAGTGCAAGCCCTGGGGTCATTTTTGCTTGTCACAGTAGTTGGAGGGCCTTCTTGGCATTTACAGGCAGAGACTAGAGATGCTGGATATTCTACAATTGATAGTAGAGATTCACGAAATGAAGAATGACCTACATCCCACACAATTTTCAAATGTCTTGTTTAGATATTCATGGAGGTGTAAGCCTAAATAAATTATCTGAATGTAAGGCCATTTTATGTATGAACATAAAGTTTTTTTTTTCTATTACTTTAAAACAAGCACATTTTTCCAGGAATGTAACTATGGCATAATTGAAGAAACAATATTCAATCACTATTTTGTTTGCAATTCTCCTAACAGCTGTTTACCATTTCAAAAAAGTCATGTTAGTAACAGCAACAGAGTTTTGTGGTATTTGAGTTGCTAACATAATACATCCGTATACAACAGCTTTTGTCACTGTTGAATTCAAGATAATACCACATACACATGTAAACATCTCTGCTCTCCAGTGTACTCATGCACCTACACATGGAATATACATCATCATCTTATTAATTACTCTCTTTTTCTAATTTATATTATAGTTAGGACTTTATACTGATTTCCTCTGAAATGTGGATGAGGTAAGTTAGAATACCTATGAATTCCATTTCAATATAGTAAGAGCTATTTCATAGAATATTTGTTTTGAAATAAACAAATAAAGCTGAGAATTACTATTTACTTCAGGTCTAAAATTTTTTCCCAATCTGACTTCTGACCAGGGCTTATTCTTAAATCTTTCCAGCATGGAAAGGTGGTTAGATCACATCTGTTTACATCACAGGCAGAGCACTGTGCAGGGAGTAAGGATACCTAGACCCCAGCCCTGGTTCTACCTCTTTATTGGTGGCTGGTGAACTCAGGCAGGTCATCTTATCTCTATTCCCTTTGGTAAAATAAGATATATCAGACAAGTCATTTTCAATCTTTTCAACCACTTTTTCTAATTCTCCATTGTCTTCACAGGACTCAATATTTTTGGTAAAGACTTTGCCAAAGAGATATGCCAATCATTACCTGTAATAATTTAACTGATTTCCCATTTTTAGCTAACTAAAGGCATATAATTATGAACCAGAATAAAATAACAACGGTAGTCTACATTTATTAAGTGCTTATTTATGTCCCTCACAGTGAACTCTGTCCCTCATCCCCACCAACAGTATGATATCACAGTATGGGCTCCAAACTGAGAAGTGGTATCTCAGCTAGAGACTAGGGTCTCATGGTCCTTGTCTCCTCCCTCTGAGCAGAAGTCTCCAGTCCTAACGCTGCCATCCTAATCTGCAAAAACCTTGGAATGTGACTCACTCGCACCCCATGCTATTTTGGAAAACTTCTGAAGTTGATAGCGAGGTTGGGGGACTACAGTGAAATGAAATGAAATGGGCAAGACATTGGGACTGCATCTCCTCTGGGTTAGTACCTCTGCATCTTTGCATTTTCTCAAAAAGACTGGCCCAGGGCCCTGTCTAGACAAAGAGCTCTGGGATGAATTCGCTGTGAATTACCTGGGCAGCAACCCTGGACTACTGCACATAAGCCCCAGAGGCACTGATCCTTGGATAGACTCAGGGGCTCTGTGTGGCCTCTAGAAAGAAGTCAGGCAGGCTTAAGATGTGGGGTAATTAGGGTGACTAGTAGCAGTTCAAGAACTCACTGCTCCACTTACGTCTCCACTTTCTAATTCCATTGAACCCCAAGACATTGATCATTTTGTTGAAAACACACACGGGCCAGGGATGGGGTCAAGTGGCAGGATGGGGATAGCTGGCTGGAATCCCGCTGCAGAAGCATGGGCTTCCCGCTGGATGCTCTGTACTCACCAGGGAGGCTGCCGGCTGGTGTGTGGATGGTGTGGAGGAATTCGGAGTGGGTCCACCTCTCTAGCAGTAGCAGGGGGGAACTCCCGGTGGGGACTGCTTACACTAGCCTTCTCCCACTGCTCATGGATAGGTGTGATGATTCCAGACACAATACGAGACCGAAGCTCCTCACTGTTCTTGTAGGTCCTGCAGGAAGCAGACGAAGAGTCAACTGCTTGCAGTTGGCTAGGAACCCTGGAAGTGGTATTCTGGCCGCAACGATGGCAGCGGCGGCCCTGAGAGCTCCTGGCGTTGCGCTTGGCCTGTTTATAAGTGGGGGAACAGGCCGCCTGGTGGACCTGGGTGAGGGGGGCAACAGCCCCACGCTGTCTCTGAGATTTGGGCCTAAGCTTCTTAGGCATCTGAGTTGCCCCTCCTCGTTACCACCCCATTAGAAAGAGGTGAGGGTGTAGGGGCACAGAGCCTGGACTGGCTACTCCTCTGTTCTCACCCACCTCACCCCTCCCTCAGCTTCATTGTGTGTTCATCATGTGTCATGGGAAGGGTCATGGAAGGCAAAGGCTCCACGGGGAGGATGAATCAGGTTCCTGGTCCAGGCAGGCAGAGCTCTGGGGGCTCAAGGTCCAGTTCTGTCACTAACTCAGGAGTCCTCGGAAGGCTGCCCCTAACACCTATCCCATCCTGCCTGGGCCTCTTTTTCTTTGCCTGTGAGAGACAAGTGACGTGAGCCACAGCTGAGGTGTGGAGGCAGGCTGAGGTAACAGAATGGGTAGGACTCCAGGCTTCCTAAAACACTGGTATTTTAAAATGAACCACATCCTGCCCATAAGGCAAAGCTCACAAATGTAAAATAACTGAAACCATATAAAGTATGTACTTCAACCATATGGAAGCACAACAGAAATCAAAACAAAAAGTTAACTCTCTAAGTACATGAAAATTAAGCAACATACTTCTAGAAAATCCTTGGATCAAAGTCCCAAAAAAGAAATATATAGCACTGAATTAAAATGAAAATAAAAACATATGAAAATATGCAGGATATAACTAAAGGATTGCTGAGAAGAAACCTCATAGCACTAAATGCTTACATCAAGAAAGAGGAAGGAACTCAAATCAATAACCAAAATTCTGACCTAAAGAACCCAGAAAAAGAAGAGCAAATTAACCCAAAGCAAGCAGAAGTAATAAACGTAAGAACATAAGTCAATAAAAAAAAAAAAGAGAAAATGAAACAAAAAGTCAATTCTTAAAAAAAAAAAAAAGAATACAATTGACCAACTTCTAGCAAGACTGACAAATATAAAAAGAGAGGACATAAGTCACCAGAAACAAGAATGAAACAAGAGATATTACAATAGATCTGTAGCCACTGAAAGGATAATAAGAGAATACTAAGAACAACTTAATCCAACAATTCATAATAGACCAATTCTTAAAAACCATAAACTACAACTCAGCCAAAATGAAACAGATAATCTGAATAGTTTCATTAAAGAAACTGAATTACACTTAACATTCTAAAAACAAAAAACAAAAAACAAAAAACAAAAATCTCCAGCCTCAGATTGTTTCAGGGAGAATTCTATCAAACATTTAAAGAAGAATTAACATCAATTTTACCATCACTTCTAGAAAATATACGAGGAGGGAATACTTTCCAACCCCTTTCATGGGACCAGTATTACTCTGGTATCAAAACCAGGCAAAGACCATACAAAAAATAAATAAATAAATACAGACTATTATATCCTATGAACTTACACACATAAAACATCCTCAATAAAATATGAGCAAATTGAATTTAAAAATGTATAAAAAGAATTATATACCATGACCAAGTATGACTTGTTCTAGGTATGCAAGACTGGTTAGTAGTCACAAATCAATCAATGTAATCTACCATATCAATAAGCTATGGAAGAAAAATCATATGGTCATATCAATTGATACAGAAAAAAGCTTTTGACAAAATCCAACATGATAAATCCATTCAAGATTAAAAACTCTCAACAAACTTAAGAATAAAGGGGAACTTCTTTAATCTGATAAAGAACATTTACAAAAAACCTACCCATAACAATAGACTTTACTGTGAAAGGCTGCTTTGCCCCTAAGATTGGGAATAAGGCGGTGGTTCACGTCTGCAATCCCAGCACTTTGTGAGGCTAAGATGGGCAGATCACAAGGTCAGGAGATCGAGACCATCCTGGCTAACACAGTGAAACCTGGTCTGTACTAAAAATACAAAAAGTTAGCCGGTCGTGGTGGCATGCGTCTGTAGTCCCAGCTACTCAGGAGGTTGAGGCAGGAGAATCACTTGAACCCAGGAGACAGAGGTTGTAGTGAGCCAAGATCACGTCATTGCACTCCAGCCTGGGAGACAGAGCGAGACTCTGTCTCAAAAAAAGAAAAAGAAAAAAAGAAAAAGGACGAGACACAGAACCTAGAATAGCTAAAACTATTTTGATGAAGAAAAAGTGGGAGGAATTATTCCACTCAATATTAATGCCTACAATAATCAATACTGGTAGAGTAATACTGACAGAAGAAGAGACATAGAGATCAATGGAAAAGAACAGAGGATCCAGAGATAGATCCACAGATGTACAGACAACTGATTTTTGACAAAGTTTCAAAAGCAATTCAATGAAGGAATAACAAATGATGTTGGAGCCATTGGACATCCATGGGTAAAAAAAAAATGAGCCTTGATCTAAATGAGTAAGTAAGCCACTAGACATCCATGGGTAAAAAAATGAGCTGCTTCCCTGCCCAAGCTGGGTGCGGGGGTAAATTCAAATCCTCTTTCCTTTTAATGAGATCAGAGGGAGGCCTCTGATATCCCTAGGCATGTGTAAAATTCAGGCCTGATTAAAAAACCACCAGGTCCTGAAGGAGAGGTTCTCACATAATTTTTAAGCCTTGGCAGAACAACTGCGACAGCCTATCATCTCATCTGACACAGAAAGGGTACAGCAGAATGGAACACAATAGGTTTATATTTCTTAGCAAATCACAGTTTGCTCACTGAGGAGCACAAACTCCTAGAAGAGTGAAGACATGCCACAATGACCTAACAAAGAGGGCTACATGGAGGCGGCTATGGTTGAAAGGCATAGGAGGGAGAGAGGGCCTCTGATCAGGAGGCAGAGCCATACCTCAGCTTTCACCGCCCATTTCCACGGAGATGATTCCTGGTGATCAGACTTTTTTCCCCTTTGTGTATTTTACTAAGAGCTGGACTAAGCACTAAGCACTCTATGTGCTGACATCTCATTCCATTCTCAGAAAAACCCTGAGATAGTACTATTGTGTCCCTCATTTCACAGTAATCAAAAAACAAAACAAAACACAACACACATCCTCTCCCTCACACAAAAACCCCTCAAACAAACGTACTTAAAAAACAAATAGAGACAGGATCACAATTCTCTCTCAGTATTACTGAGCAGACGGAATGCTCTAATGAGCCTGAATGGCCAATATGCCTAGGTTCTTCCACAGGTTTTGTCAATTTCTCTCCCAATGGAACTCCAGAGTGAAGAAGTCAAGAGACCATTCTCCAAATGTCCCTCCCTCACCCACTAAGAGGGTTCAGTGTCAGGGTGTGTGCAACACCCAGAGGAGCAGCATTCTGCTGGTCAGGCCTGGCTCATTTCCCCCTTTCCCCGCTTTGTCTAAAGTACGCAAAAGAGACCCAAGCCCTGCCCTCAAGGAGATCACAAGCAAGGGAAGACCAACTCTAAGAAGGCAAATGTAAAATATCTACTGATTGATTAAATGCTTAAAAAATGATGTTTTGAACCAGGGCAACACAGCAAAGACCTCATCTCTACAAAAAATAAAAAACTGGCTGGGCATGGTGGCACATGCCTGTAGACCCAATTATTTGGGAGGCTCAGGTGGGAGGGTCACTTGAGCCCAGCAGGTTGAGGCTGCAATGAGTTGATTGTGCCCCTGTACTCCAGCCTGCCTGGGCAACAGAGGGAAACATGTCTCCAAAAAAAATTGTAAAATGTTTTGAAGCTTTAAGCCTGGGGGCCAGAGGAAGCTTCTCTAAGGAACTGACATTTAAATTGGTAACCAAACGATAAACAGGAGGTGGCTACATGAGATCAAGGAGAGCACTTTATGCAGAGGGAAGCAGTCTGAAGAGGGCAGAATGACACTGTGGCTGAAGCACAGGGATGTGGGGAAGGCCGTACAAGGTGAGACTGAAGGGGTGAATGCTAGGCTTTAAGGCCTCATCAAGGATTGTGTTCTTTATCCTAAGAGCAATGAGCATTCCCTGAAGCCTTTTAATGGTGGTAAAATATGCATAAAATTTATCATCTTAACCATTTTTAAGTGTTCAGTAGTGTTAAGTACATTAACACTGTTGTGCAATCACCTACCATCCACCTCCAGATCTCTTTCCATTTTGCAAAACAAACTCTGTACCCATTAATTCCTAACTCCCCTCCCCATTCCCCTCTTGCCCCAGTATCTGGCAACCACGATCTACTTTCTGTCTCTATAAATTTGACTAATCTAGGTACCTTTTATAGAATCATACAGAATTTGTCCTTTTGTGAATGGCTTATTTCATTTAGCATAATGTCTTCAAGGTTTGTCCATGTTGTAGCATGGGCCAGAATTTCCTTCCTTTTTAAACCTGAATAATACTCTACTGTATTTACATACTACATTTTGTTTATCCATTCATCTGTCAATGGACAGCCAGGCTGCTTTCACCTTTTGGCTACTGTGAATAATGCTTCTATGAACATGTGTGTACAAATATCTTTTCAAGACCTAGTTTCAAATCTTTTGGGTATATGCCCAGAAGCGGACATGCAGGATTATACAGTAATTTTCTGAAGAACTGTCATATTGTTTTCCATAGTGGCTGCACCATTTTACATTCCCAAGAGTGCACAAGGGTTCCAATTTCTCCACATCCTTGACAACGCTTGTTTATTTTCTGGTTATTTTGATAGTACTCATCCTAATGGGTGTGAAGTGGCATCACTGAAGGGTTTTAAGCCAGAGTTGTAACCATGATCTGATCTATGTCTGAAAAAGATTGGTCAGACTGCTATGAGGGAAATACACTGGAGGGTGGCATGCAGGAGGGGAATATGTAAAAGACCTCCTCACACAGAAGTTGCGTGGAAGAGGGGAGGAGAAATGAGTAGTGGCAGTGGTTTGAAATTCTGTGAGGACTGGAATAGGTTCAAACAGGGTATTGCTGATTAGATGCTATTAAATGCAACAGGGTTTCTGGGTAGTTCTGAGGTTCAGTTAAGGTTTCATAACTGTGCATTTATAGTGATGCCAAGCTTACTCTAAAACTCTGAGGATGGCTGGGCGTGGTGGCTCACACCCGTAATCCCAACACTTTGGGAGGATCACCTGAGCGGGTGGAACACTTGAGGTCAGGCGTTTGAGACCAGCCTGGTCAACAGCAAAACTCTATCTCTATTAAAAATGCAAAAATTAGCTGGGTGTGGTGGTGCACACCTGTAATCCCAGTTACTCGGGAAGCTGAGGCAGAAGAATTGCTTGAATTGTCACACTGTACTCCAGCCTGGGTGACAGTGCTAGACGCCATCTCAAAAAAATAAAATAAAATAAAAAATAAAATCCTGCAGTGGTCAATGAAGATGGGGGAAAATTCCCTATAACGGAATAAAGCAGACATAAATCAGCTTAACTATCTATAAAACAGGTAACTTCATTATACTGATTTAAAAAACAAGCACTAATCTAAGTACCTTTGGAAGACACTACTCTGCCTACATCTTTTGTGGGACATAGGTAAAAGACAAAAAGAACTGGAAATAAATCATTTGGAACTTTACTTAGTAGGTTTGTTCTTGGTAGGCACTGATGTCATTCAGAAAATATTTGTGTGTATTCTGGGATCAAGTAAATAAGTAAATATGTTGATGCTGTTGAAAATCAGGGTTCTCACCACAGGAGAAGGGACATATAAGTACGGAATAAGAGAAAAAGAATCCTGTAGTGTTATATTAAAAACAGAGGTGGCAATTTAAACTCATAAGGAAAAATTTTCCTAGTTCTATCTGCTGAAAAGGCCTAGAATGTACTACTGTATGATACCAACTATATGACACTCTAGAAAAGGCAAAACTATGGAGACAGTAAAAAGATCAGTGGTTGCCAGGAGTTAGTGAAAAGGGAGTGAAGAATAGGAGGAGCACAGATTTTTAGGGTAGTCAAACTATTCTGTGTGATACTATAATGGTAGACACACATTCTCATCTATTTGTCAAAACCCACAGACTGCACAACAGCAGGCTTGAGCCCTAATAATGATGTGTCAATGTAGACTCATCAGTTGTAAGGAGTGTATCACTATGTATGGGATATTGACACAGGGAAGCTATAAGCTGTGGGTGTATGGGACCAGGAGGTAATATGGGAACGCTCTGCACTTTCTGCTCAATTTTGCTTGTACCTAAAACGACCCCAAAGAAAATAATTTTTTTTTTTTTTTAAGTTGGAGATTGGGGTTGGGGACCCAATGAGGTACACATTCTCCCAGGAGTCTGCTCTGGCTGAATGAGTTGGCCTGGCTCCACCTCTACTCTGCAGCCACCACAGCACTTATGGACTCTTGATTGCATCATCTTGTCTCATGTGGCACTTCCTATGTGAGTCTCCTCTTCAAATACATAAAAAACAGAAAAGAAAATTAGGAAGTTGTGCCCAGAAATAAAAGGTCCTTCCATCCACCTTCCTTAATTTTCTGGACACATCTACCCTATTCCTTATATCTTGCCATTGGTTCTCTCTTTTCCAGGGAAGAGACATCATTTAGAAGTACCTGTGGAAGTCACCCAGGTGTTCTGCATCGATATAATCATCCAAGTTCAGGGTCAAGTCTGCCACTTGCTGTGAGCCATATTCCTAGATGAGTGAAAATAGAAAGTGAGAGACTGGGATATTTCTAGGCTAAGAGTGGGAGGGTGGAGGGAGAGTAACAGAGTCTTCAACCTAAAGAAATATTCACATATGTCCACAAAGACATATATAAGGACTGTTTATATAAAATACCTTCCTAAGGCTTAGAGACTTCTTTGATTTAGGAATACTGCCTTTCCAAGGCAGAGGCTAAAACACCTACTTCCCAGGCTCTTTCGCAAAAGGGCTCAGGCATGGTAACTGAGGTGTTGAACTGATGCATCAACTTTGAGTTGGAGGTGAGCAACATGAAGAGGCAGACCCAGCAAGGGGCAGATATCTTGTTAATGAGGGTAGCAGCAGAGGCCAGGGGGTCATATAAGCAGCTTAACAGAAGGGTGCACCAGGGCAGACAGAATCAGCCAGTACCTAATACTGGGCAGTGTTGGTGGCAGCAGTGGTTTCCGGGGCATGATTTGGGACACTGCTTCTGGAAACCTAGCCTTAAACCTGTTTCAATGAGCTATCCTGGTTCTTTTCGTTTTGTTTTGTTTGTTTTGAGATAGAGGTTTGCTCTATCGCCCAGGCTGGAGTTCAGTGGTGCAATCTCGGCTCACAGTAAACTCTGTCTCTTGGGTTCAAGAGATTCTCCTACCTCAGCCTCCCAAGTAGCTGGGATTACAGGCACCCACCACCATGCCTGGCTAATTTTTAAAAATATTTTTAGTAGAGACAGGGTTTCACCACATTGACCAGGCTGGTCTCAAACTCCTGACTTCAAGTGATCCACCTGCCTTAGTCTCCCAAAGTGTTGGGATTATGGTGTGAGCCACTGCACCTGGGTGATCCTGGTTCTTTTAATAAACTCTTTTTGATTAAACTAACCCAAGAGGTTTTTGTTGTTTGAAACCAAGAACCCTATCTGACACAAGATCTAAATGTTCATCAAAAGGGAAAGGAATAAAGAAATTATGGTGCCATGAGAAACTACATAACAGTTAAAACAAATAAGGTACATCTACATGTATTTCCATGTCAAGACCTCCAAAACATCGAGTGAAAAAAAGGCAAAGTGCAGTATAATACATATAGCAAGATACTTCCACATGGTCACACACAAACCACTAAGACAAAAGTTAACAAAAAGAAAGTCACTGTCCTTGTGGCACATACAGTCCCATGGCAGAATAAAAGCAAAGCACAAATAAGTACACAATTACAAGCTGCAATGAGTGTCAGGCAGGAAAATAAAATGATGGCGTAAAGAGACATAATTTAGATTTTTTTGGCAGTAGGAGTGGTAGGAGTGGGTAGTCAGAACTGAACTTTTTGAGGAAGTCAAACATGAAAGAGAATTGTCCACGCTGAAGGAATGGTGGAGGGCTGTGAGAGGGGCAGATGGGGGAGGGGAAGAGCCTTGCAGCATAGGAAATATAAAGTGCAAGGGCTCCAAGGCAGCAAAGAATTCAATTTATTTAAGGAACTGAAGTAGCCCACTGGAGTTACCTAAGTTTTTTCCTTCTATCTTGTCACTGAATAGATTTACTTTATTTAACCATTTCCCTGTTGACAGAAAGCCCCTCCTTCTTAATTCCAGGTGGTGAATATCTTTGTGTACAAATGTTTTTTATACTTAGGGTTCTCACCTTAAGATAAATTTCCAGAAGTGGGATCACCGGGTAAGGGCTACACGAACATTGGAGCTCTGGATCCAGACTGTTAAATGGGTTTCAAAACAGCCATTCCCATCCTCATCTCATCAGCAGACTTACGTGTCTCAGAGACTCACCAGCACATTGAGGATCATGCTGCTCTCCACGGTGATGGCTTTCACAAGGAGCTTTCTGGACCCATCCTTATACTCATATCGGAGGACATACAGGTCCTTATTGTTGTTCCACCCAGCTGGCAGCAGTTCTGACTTCTTATCATTGGGACCCGGCTGGGAAGACACCACAGTTGAGAGGAGAAAGATCATGACCTCAAAACACAGAATTATAAAGAACCTCACAAGATAAGCTAATCTTACCCGGCTCACTTCACAGATGAAGATGTGGAGGTCAAGAGAAATGACTTGCCCAAGATCCTACAGCGAGAGAGAGGTCTAGGGCCCAGGTCTCTGGGCCTCTGTTCTACTGTGCTCTCCCTCATATTGAGCTACCTTTCTGACACAGCATTGGAACCTGTCAAGAATCTGCAGTGTTGGTTTAATAATCATCTCTTCCCCATCCCTCTGCTAAGAATAAAGCCAGTCACCTTGAGGAACACTGAGAAGTTCTAAGTAGTGTTTTTCAAAGTTTGGACCTTCGGCTAACTACAATAGATTACCAAGGTGTTGACTAAAAACGCAGATCCTTAATACACCCTAACTGACTGCAGTGATGTACAAAAATTATAATTTCATAATACACAAAATGTAGCATATGTACAAATAACAAAGAATTACAAAATGTCTCTACCACCAGCTTAAGAAATAGAACATCAGCAATACTGCTAAAGCCTTGGGTAGCAAACTCCAATAAATGTCCCTTCTTCCCCTTCAAGGGTAATCACCACTCTTAAACAATTTCTTTACTTTTCCCTAGAGTTATATTACTCTACATGCAACCACAAAAATATATTGTTTCAAATATTTTTGAATTTTAAATAAATAGCATCACTTCTGTCATTTGCCTTTTTTATTCGATATTGTTTTTGGAAAGGCATCCATGTCAATGCATTTAACTACAGCTGATTCACATTCACAGCTACACAGCATTCTGTATGACTATGCTGCAATTTATACATGTACTTGTTGATGGTGATTTGGAGTATTTCCCAGCTTATTTGTTTTGCTATTATGAACAATGCTGCTATGAACATTCTTGTACACATCTGGTACATACATGGATAAACTTCTATAGAGTATGCATGGAGGAAAAGCTTTTAATTTACAAGATAAAGTCAAGTTGTTTTCTAAAGAGTTACTGATTTATACTCCCACTAGCAATGTATGAAAGCTCCTGTTGCTCCATGTAGTTGGCAACATTGCTATTGTTGCTTGCCAATCTAGTAGGGGTAAAATGCTTGCCATTTTCATGCTTGTCAGCCTGGTGGGTGTAAAATACATCTTTTATTGTGAGTTGTGATGTCTTCCTTTTTTCTTTTTAAAAAATCCTAAGACTTTCCATACTAAAGTTTGAGAAATAGTTCTCAAATTATTTCTACAGGAAAAATAATATAGTGATTTCCAGGTGGGGAAGATTTCTTAAACAAGATTCATAAAAGAAAAAAAATGCTGCCTTTGACATTGTTTGTAACTGAAAGCTTCTGTTCAACAGAGACACTACTAAGTTAATAAGCAGCCACAGGCTAGGAAGACACATTTGCTATGGCTGCAAAGGAAAGAAATTAATAACCTCTACATACAGGGAATGCCTGGAAAATGAACAATAACAACTGGCAACTCCAAAAAGTGGCAAAAGATACGAACAAGAAAAAGAGCGGTTAATAGTATTTAAAGAGTTATTCAATTTTACTAGCAATCAGAGAAGCAGAACTGAAATAATGAGACACTAAGTTATACAATTCGGACTGTTATTACCCAGTTTTCTACTTTTTGCCAGATGTCTGTGTAGGTGTGGGAAGAATGGGAACCTCTAGTCCCTGCTGGTGGGCATTTAAACTCATACAGCCCTTTTGGGGAGCAATCTGGCAGTTTTTAGTGCAATTAGGTAAGCCAATATCCTATAATTTAAAATCCCTACTCCCAGAAGAAACCCTGTGCACAGGGTCCATAACAAAGGATCTTCATTATAGCCTTGGCTAAGGTAGCCAAAGTGGAGATAAAATGCAAAATATGCTTACAGTGGAAAACTATTTAGCAGTCCAGAAGGAACAAACCAGATCTAATGATAGTATTATATATAAAATAAAAAATATGATTTAAAGGAAAGTTCCCCCCAAAATGAGGTTTACACTCCAGTACCTTTATGTAAAAATTTTAAAAAGCACAAAAAAAAGTTAGAATCTTTTTTCATGGGTGTATATTTATATTGCTCACCATGGGTCAGGTGGACTGGGAAGATCTGCAGTCATGAGAATACAGCGGGAGGGAGTGGGACCGGAGATGAAGAAAATGGAAAAGACAAAGGTCCAGCAAAGCAAAACTTCACACACCAAGGACAAGGGGAGACCACACATTGAGAACTGCCGGCCTGTCCTCTTTGGTCACCCCTGGTGCTCAGAAATCCTTTGGGGAAAGAGAATCCAAATAAAATTCAGGATGTCACAGCTGGCATGGTTTAAAACCTGGCTGGATGAGGATGAAATTCACAGGCCTGAAGCACAGAAATGAGAGTGAGGAAAAACAAAAATGAAACTAATCAAACCATTCTTCTGAGAAAGAGAAACTATCCCCTCACCCCAAACTGGGTAACTTTCCCAAATATGTTTAGTGCTTAGCGTTATGGATTTGTTTACTTTGGAAGCCAGAAATTTGATGACATCCTCATCTTTGCTCTGTCAAAGGCCTTTAAATTTATATTATATCCTCCATGTACAGCATTCAAACCACCACAGTTCTCTCTTGGAATATAAACAATTTGGTCTGCTCACCTCCCCATCACCTTTGGCTTCCAGAGTTACAGAAAATCCCTAAAGTCAGGTGAAACTGCTGTCTCTAACTGCAGTGCAACTGATGTTTCCCAGTAAACAGAGGACAGACCCTGGGGATATCAGGCCAAACATGGCATGCAACTGCCCTGTAAACCCTGACATCAAATATCAAGAGTCCCAGAAAGCCACAGTTGGAAAGTAGCCTAAGTACACAGTCACATGGTTTAACTTCCTCTGATGAAAAATCAAAGGCCTGAGGCTGAGTGCAGTGGCTCATGCCTGTAATCCCACCCCTTTGGGAGGCAGAGGCAGGCAGATCACTGGAAGTCAGGAGTTCGAGACCAGCCTGGACAACATGGTGAAACCCCGTCTCTATTAAAAATACAAAATAAAATTAGCCAGGCATGGTGGTGGGGACCTATAATCCCAGCTACTGGGGAGGCTGAGGCAGGAGAATTGCTTAAACTCAGGAGGCAGAGGTTGCAGTGAGCCAAGATCGCACCACTGCCCTCTAGCCTGAGTGAGACTCCATCTTGAAAAAAAAAAGAAAGACAATTCTAAGGCCTGAGAGGGTCAGAGAGCTGACCAAGGTCTCAGCAAGTCAGCTGTAGGGTTGTACTTGGAATTCAGAGCTCCTGATTGCCCCAGGCTATGGCTAGAGAAGGTTTTCCCCAGCCAGGTCCATAAGATGGCCCTAAAAGAATAAAGATAACTGTCTTCCTAGGTAAAATCCTGGCACTGGAAGCGTTCTTTAATGGTCATGAGTTTGACCCAATGCCTCTGAGCTAACATGCACCCAAAGAAACTTAAACAGATCATTTTGGGCATTTTCTCTCTTTCATCACAATCCTTACATTCTCCACAACAGAAAACAAAATTATTTAACTTATGTCGATGACCACCTAAGTCATCCCTTACCTATCCCCTTGCCACCTAAACCACTTGGCAAAGCTGTAAAGTTCTTGCAAGGAGTGGTTCTGACATCAAGAAAGAAATCCAAATTCTAAGATTGGATTTTTGTTGAAGCCAGTGGCTGCATTGGTCTTCTAATCAAGTTTTACGTACACAATTCCCCTATAACAGTGGAGGTAAAACCTAAGAGAAAGCAGACAATCTAGCTTTCCATTTAACTGTCAACTTGTGTAGTCAAGCATACACTCTTGGACCTTCCTCTCGTTATCACCCCCAGAAGGGTGGAAACGGGAGATGGCAGGAGAGGCAACACAAATATCCTCTGAGCTTGGAAAATACAATCGAGTCAGCTGAGTTGGCTGGCCCCAGGCTGAAAAATTAAACCTCCTTTTAAATAAACTAACAGGAAAGATGCCTCTCCAGCTTCCACTCTGAATGAAAGTAGACTCAGCAGAAGTGACAGAAGGACAAGTGCAACCTGAGCACCACTGGCAATCAAGGAGAAAAGGCAGAGAGAAGCAAAAATACACCATGCTCTAGTTTGCAATCCAAACACCCATTCCTTCAAGAGCATGCAAGATTCAGGAAGAAAGGTGGCAATGCCTTACAAAAACCCCATTCCCCAGGCTCCTGGGCCTCCCCAAAGATTTCTGAAACCAGCATCTTTTTCTGGCCTGCAGAAGCTCAAAAAATAGCACCATGAACAGAGAAAAATCAGATAGACCTTGGGGAATTGGTCAAGGCCTTTTTTTTGGAAACAACAACAACAACAACAACAACAGAAAAAAACAGTATTAAAATGAGATTGTATTCTTTCTGTACATTTCATCCGAAAATTTTGCAGCCTTGAGTGCATGGAAAGGTGATAATGCCAGCTAAAAGAAGGTATCGACTTATGTGAACTGATGTTCCCAAACTGTCAAAGTGATTCAACAGGATGAGTGAGGGTAAGAATGGTGGGAGCAGATTCACAGCGATTGATATTTATTTGTGGAATGGCAAGAAGAGAAGGGCATCAGGCACACCCTCTAGAACAAGTTCCGGAGCAGAGGTGGACAGGGTTCTGACAGTGTGGCAGAGTAGAAGTAGCTAGTTAGGGGTATGTAAGGGGAGTGAGGTACATGAGAAGGGACAGTGCAGAGCACAGCTGTTCCATCTGAAGGACAAGAGAGCTGAGGGCCAATGGAGGAGCTCCCAGGTCAAAATCAAATCTTACTCCTCTTCTCAGCCCCACTGTCCCCTGCACCATCCCAGATACCAGTTTCTTTGAAGAATCTAGGAAAAGCTGAAATAAAATGACTGGGGCAAGTGAAGAGCTGCTCAAGATTAAAAAGTTGGAGTAGGACAAGTGGGGAGACAAGATTTCTGTTAGGGGGACTATGCACTGAAACAGGGGCCTGACACTGAAATGTGTCTCTACCTGGTACTAAGGTCTGAAATGCTGAAAGGCATTTGGAAGGTATGTGGAATGAAGAGCAGCACAAAGAGAAAGGACAGGGACAGATGCGTTTGGGAAGGTGAAATGATTCCTGCTTCCAGGTGTGTGTGTGTGAAAGGCTGGCTGTTCTTTTCCATCCTCATCTCCAGTCATAGAGCCCATTTGAGAGATGAAGTATGTGTGAGTTTGGAGGTGGGAATGGGGATCCTGAGTGTGTACCTGGGGTCCCAGTAAGATAACTGAGGTCAGGGGTGGGCGGGGGAAGAGCCAGAAATCCCTGACAGTTCTTAGGCTCTGGTTCCTGCTGAAGGAGGTAAAGTGTGAGAGGGGTATCGTGGTCTTGGTCTTTAGTTCTAAGAGACAGAGAGGAATAGGGACAGCAGTGAGGGGTAGGGGAGAGGGGATACTTGCCTAAGTGCTCAGAATGTACAAAACAAGTTTGAAGACAGGTCCCTAAAGCTATGTCAGGAGAGGAGAATTAAGACTCTATTTGAGAAGCTAAAAAAAAAGATTAGAGGAGTTGAGGACTGAAGCAGTCAAAAAGGAGAGGAAGGGTGATGGGGTGGTCTGTTTCCCATGGCTGGTCTTGGTTCTGAGAGTGAGAGAACAGTGACAGTGAGGGGCACGCATGGAGGCAGGCCCAGTTGTCCCAGCAAGCAGATGTCTAGGATGATGTGGATGTGGGGGATGAGGGTCACAGGGAAGAGACAGGAAAGACAGAAGAATGCTAGAGCAAAGAATTAGTGAGGTGGGTTGGGCCCAGCGGTCCTGGAACTCGGTGGGGATGACAACAACGTCCCTAGGTGTAAGAGGTGGAGCCTGGGGATGGGAGTGGAGGGGGCTGGCCCTATGGGGACAGCTATGAGGAGAAAATCTTATATGACTCTCACATCCAGGCTGTATGTGTATACGATTCTAGGGGGGACTGTTTCCTAGAGCTTAAGCTGGGGATGGCAGTAGCGAGTGGACTACGCTGGGCCCTTCAGTAAAGCGTGAAAGGCATGTGAACTCTCTGGGCCCATGCTAAGGGGTGAAAAAAGGGCCGTGGCCTGGGGCTGAGTAGGTCAAAGCTCACTCCCGTACCTGTGCTTGGATCCAGATGTTTGGTGGAGGCTCTAGTGTGGTATGAGGGCGGAACTGAGTCAGTCCCCTCACCCCGAGGCTGGGTGGGAAGGAATTCAGAGGAGATTAGGAGGGTGAGGAGTGCTCTGGGGAGCTAAACTCCTGTCTGGATTCTTTTCCATTCTATGGAATGCTAGGTCCACACAGTCCTGGCCTGAGAGGCTGCCAGGCTGTGTTGAAGCGAGTTTCTGCCCTTGAGTTTACAAATCATGTTGTGCCAGCTGTGCTGTGAGGGACTCTGGGCTGGGTTGGAGCAGGTGAGCAACCTCCGACCCGCAGGTTTTACCAACGCCGTCATGTGCCCCAGGCCCTGCATTGGGAAAGGCGGGGAAATCGGGCGCTCTGGACAAGGCCTCCGGGCCTCTGAGTTTGGACAGAAGACAGTTCCCTCCTCCACCCTGGCCGGCTCCGTGGCGTACCTGGTCACCGACACCCAAGCCGTAGTAGCCGTGTGTCACCATTTCCCAATGCAAGAAGCAGACGAGCGCGTCCTGCGTGCAGGTGATGGCTGGCGCTGCCGATGCGAACAGTACCTCCAGGCCCGCCATGAGCGCCACCGACTTCGGCGTCTGGAGGAGAGAAGGGGGAGGGGGTAGTGCAGTGAGCCAGCTCCGCGGCCGGGTTAGCTATAACTCCGCTTGACTCCTGCGCTAGCTCTGGCAGAGTCTACACCTGAGACCAAGATGGAGACGCCCGGGGGCGGGGCGGGGCGGGGCCGCCGGAAGTAGCCCCAGGAGCGGGCGCAACTGCGTGAGGCGCGCCGGGCTGGCAACGCGAGCGCAGAACTAAAAGGTTCCGCCAGGGACCGCGCGGGGTGTGGCCCCTCAAAGCCGGAACCTGGGTCTTCGCCGCGGCGGACAGGATCGCTTCACGCAGGCACAGCGCCCTCCAAGAGGCCACCTTGCTGAGAGCCAGACTTCCCATGCACAAAATGGGTTATGCTAGGCCGGGGAAGGGGCTGGGAAATGTGGCTAAAATACATTCTTAATAATCGTTAATACGTACGCAGTGCTTACTACCGGCCACATTATTCTAAATGCTTTACTTGTATTCATTTATTTAATCTTCACAACCCAACTCTATGCAGTTGATATTAACGATTAATGTGCCTCATTGCACAGATGAGGAAACTGAGGCACAGAGGGCTAATTTGACCAAGATGACAACAGCCAGCGGGTGAATGGCTGAGATGGTTACAGGAACCTAGCAGTCTGGCTTCTAAGATAACATTTATTAAGTGTTTATTGTGTGCTACATCCTGTACTAAAACCTTTACATCACCTTCTCAACAACTCTATGATGTACCATTATTATCCCCATTTTGCAGATGACAAAACGGCTGAGAGTTGAAACCATTTTTCCAAGAAGACACAACTGCTGCCCGCAGAGCTGAAGCTCCTGACCCATTACCAAATTTCAATCATTTATTTGACTACCCCCTTTATGATTTTTACCACCCATTACGTCAACAAGTTTCATGAAATCCACTTATTGTTTTTACCCAAATAAATTTAGTTTCCCCATCCCAGTCACCAACCTGGTCCAAGCTCCTGTCATCTTTCACTTGGACGCCTGGCATCAGCCTCGGAACTGCCCCATTCCATTCCTGTCTCTCTCTGTACTGCACTTCGCAACCAGAGAGATTATGTTAGAAAACAGGTCAGATCGGCCGGGTGTGGCGGCTCAGGCCTGTAATCCCATCACTTTGGGAGGCCGAGGCAGGTGGATCACTTGAGGTCAGGAGTTTGAGACCAGCCTGGCCAACATGGTGAAACCCTGTCTCTACTAAAAATACAAAAATTAGCTGGGCGTGGTGGCGCACGCCTTTAGTCCCAGGTACTCAGGAGGCTGAGGCGTGAGAATCGATGGAACCCGGGAGGTGCAGGTTGCGATGAGCCAAGATCTCACCATTGCACTTCAGCCTGGGCAACAGAGCGATACTCCGTCTCAAAAAAGAAACAAAAAGAAAAAAGAAAACAAGTCAGATCACATCCCTCAGCTCAAAATCTCACAGGGTTCCCATCACACTCAATGGAAAAGTAAAGTCCTCCCCATGGTCTGCAGGAACCTGCATGTGGTCTGCCACCTCCTGCCCCAGCCCTGCCAGTCCTGTACCTCTCTGATTCAATCTCCTTCAACTGTCCTCCCATCCCCTTTATACCTGCAATGACCTTGGCTCCCCTTCTCTCACAGCTACATATGGTCCAACAGCAAAGCTAGTTGACTCCACTCTCAAAATATATTATGAATCTGACCACTTCCCATCACCTTCACTGCTTCCACCCTGGTCTGATCCTCCAGCATCTAGCTTCCCAACCACTTTCCCTCTTTCATGTGTTCTGTTTAGGCCTTTGCATTCCTCTTCCTGGAATGCTCTTTTCCCAAATATCTACGTGTCTTGCTTCTTCATTTCTAGTGGCTCCATCCCTCACTCCTACCATCCTCAATAGAGGGCTTCCCAGACCATTCCATCCAAATAACCCTCTCCAGTCTTTAACCCCTCTCCTGTTTTTTTTTTTTCCCTGCAAAGCACTAATCATAACCTGAAACTATATTAGGTATTTATTTCTTTGCTTATTTAATGACTGTCTTTCCACTAGACTGTGACAAAGAAACAGGGAGCATGTCTACCTTGTGCACGTATGTACCTGAATGCCATCTGGGATCAATCTATACTTATTGAAAGAAAGAATGAATACTGAATGAAGAAATGAATTCTTGTCCTAGCCCCAACCCAATCAGGCCACTCTTATCTCTTTATAGTTCACCACTCCCTTTGTCAGCTGGTCCTGTGCCTCTCCAAATTTTGTGTTCCTAGAATTTCCTTGAGACACCCAGATTCTTGAACTCCTTCTGCAGAGATTCTGGATGAGAAGGTCTGAGGAAGAGTGGGTGTATGTTGACCACATTCTGGACGACACTAAAGCTGATGGCTGTGGAACTCCTCTCTGAGATGTACTGCCTGTGGCATAAAGCTATTTGCCCTTTCTACTGAGAAGTTCTGCACTTTCGGGCTTCCCTGCTTTTGCTTATTCTGTCCCTTCTGTTGTGATACCCTTATCCAGTTATGGAAAAGTTCTACAGATTCATTCCATCAATAAACTTTGATAGGCTGGGCTGCCATGAACCATAGTGCAGGGTGTCCACTTAAGGTGCCTACTTAGTGGCAGCCCATTCCTAAGTGCCTAGTGTGGGCCAGACACAGATGAACAGGTTCCTGTCCCTATAGGGCTCACTGTCTAGTGTTAAAAAAAAAAAAAAAAGCACTGGTCAGGCACGGTGGCTCACGCCTGTAATCCCAGCACTTTGGGTGGCTGAGGCGGGCAGATCACGAGGTCAGGAGTTCAAGACCAGCTTGGCCAACATGGTGAAACCCTGTCTCTACTAAAAATACAAAAATTAGCCAGGCGTGGTGGCAGGCACCTATAATCTCAGCTACTTGGGAGGCTGAAGCAGGAGAATCACTTGAACCCAGGAGGTGGAGGTTGCAGTGAGCTGAGATCAAGCCACTGCACTCTAGCCTGGGTGACAAAGCGAGACTGTCTTCAAAAAAAAAAAAGTGGATTTAGGAGCAAAAGGTGTTCCACTAAAAGGAAACAGTATGTGCAAAGGCGTGGTGGAATGCAGCTAGCTGTGTGTAATTAGAAGGTCAATGTTGTCTCCTGAGTGAGGTTTCCCTCATCTCTTTGCCCATGATTAATTGCTCTTTCCTCAGTGTGCTTGGCGTCAGTGGGGTACCAAGGGGTGGGCATGGGACAGTGAGAGCTATCAGCCTTAGTCAGGTGGAGAATTTTATCATTGAAGTTGATGTAAATTGCTGGTTCATGATGATAGCAAAAAGTGGACTGACTTTTGGTCTCTTTTATTACTACTTTAAAGTTTTTTACAGCAAATGTACCCACTCCTTGTCTGCACCAGGGCAGGCAGCTCCGTCATCCCCACCCCTTGGTTCAACACTGCTTTGCATACAGTTGGTTGTAGCTGGCATCTTATAGAACACTGGCTCCCTCTTCTACACCATCATCCCTGTCTTAACAAGTATTATCTCAGAAGCCCATGGTGAGACAGGGATTTGAGTGGTTTATCTGGGAGCTGATTCCAGGAAATAGCAGTGGGGGCAGTGGAGTAGGGAAGTGAGACAGGAAGGAAAGGCAGCCAGCAGAGGGAGTATGATGAAGCCAGTTACCTCTACGGGCAACTGGACCGCACGCCTACCCGGGAACTCTGGGAGGCAGTATGGGGCATGTCTCAGAGCTCTTCCATTTGAGGGCATCTGCCACAGGCTGAGAGCTGCTTCTGGGGTCCTGGAAGGCCCTCAGGCAGAGAGTCGCATAATTTAAAGAAAGCAGTCTGCGTGTAGAGGTGACTGCTGAAGGGTGACGAGGGTGTTGTAGTGCGGACTGCTATGTCCTCCCACACCCCTGACCAGGGGTGAGCCATGCCTTGGAAAGTCTGTAACCCAGCAGCCAGCATGGAATAGGCACTGGCATCAGTGTATTGAAAGAATGAGGTAAACTCTTATCTCCTGAACCAGGCTGTGAATCCTGTGAAGGCCAGGACTATGTTCCACCTGTCCTGAACCCCAGGGTCCTCCAGGGATGGGAGCAAATGGGAGGACCTCCTGGGGCTGGTGTGTGTGTGTGTGTGTGTGTGTGTGTGTTACCCCTGATTCATCCAGCACTTTCTGTGGACTTACCTACATCAGCAAGAGTCCCATTCTGCCCTTGTAAGCTCTGTGAGTGGCTGAGAAAGGAAGCAGGTGGCGGGTGCCTCCCTGTCTGGGCCCCCACTACCAAGAGCCCATGCCAGAGATGAGGGCCCAGGATGATAGAAAGAACTTGGCCGGTGGCTGCAGCCACCAGTTCCTGGTTGCCAAGTGACAGCAATGTGGGTATTCCAAGCTCCCTGCCTCCCTGGAAACCATGAAGAACTGAACCAATGGGCAGTGCCTAGATGGGCACTGAGGCGAAGTCATTCACTACTGTAATTCTTCCTCGGCCTAGCATCAACTCAACCATATCACCTCCTCCAGGAAGCCCTCCATGATTGATATTGTTCTTTGCTTCTACCAAGTATCTGATATCCAAGACTTCCCAACTTCCCATTCCCCTTGTCAGTGGGGTACCCAGCATATTTGACACCCATAGCAGATACCTCTTTTCTTAAAAAGATGATAATTTTTAGGCCGGACACAGTGGCTTATGCCTGTAATCCCAGCACTTTGGGAGGCCGAGGCAGGTGGATAACAAGGTCAGGAGATAAGACCATCTCTACTAAAGATAGACCCATCTCTACTAAAAATACAAAAAAATTAGCCAGGTGTGGTGGCGGGTGCCTGTAATCCCAGCTAGTTGGGCAGCTGAGGCAGGAGAATGGTGTGAACCCGGGAGGCAGAGCTTACAGTGAGCTGAGATTGCGTCACTCCAGCCTGGGCGACAGAGTGAAACTCTGTCTCAAAAATACACATAGCATAAAATTGATCATTGTAATCACTTCAGGTCTACAGTTTAGTGATACTGACCACACTGTTTTCCACGGAGGCTGCACCATTTTACATTCCCACCAACAGTACAGAAGCATTCCAATTTGTCCACTTTCTCAGCAACACTTGTTATTTTGTTTTTTTTTGTTTTGTTTTGTTTTGTTTTCATAGTAGCCATTTAGCCATTCTAATGAGTATGAGGTGGTATGTTTTTTATTTTTTAAATAGAGATGGAGTTTTGCCATGTTGCCAAGGCTGGTCTTAAACTCCTGAGCTCAAGCAATTCACCCATCTCAGCCTCCCAAAGTGCTGATATTACAGGCGTGAGCTACCATGCCCAGCCAGTGGTATCTT